AATGGCGCCAGCGCCGCGGCCGCCACCGCCCACACAATGGCAGCGGGGCCGCCTGGCCGGCAGCGAAAACGTGGCGAGTGACTCCCGACACTGAACCCAACCCAGATCAATCTCACAGCGCTGCAAGATCCTCTAGGAATCTTTGAATTGCTGGAACTTGGTGGCTATGGCACCTACGGGCAGCAGCTTTTCTTCGAGACAGAGAAGAGAATGAAGAGAAGACTTGAGAGGGAAAACAACATGGTGTCACCAAGGTCAATGGAAAACAAAACGGACGAGGGAGGAGGTGCTCCAAGTGTAGGTGCTCCGTGCTCGGCTCTGTGCAGGCCGTGGTGAGGAGCATGGTGAAACAAAGTGCCCCCTGTAACACCTGGAGCCCAGGGGGATGCAGAGATTCACTCGTAGCCTGTGGGAGAAGTGCTCACGCCAGAGCGGGTGGGTGCTGGAGAAAGCTGTGATCCAGTGAGAGACACAAATAGAGAGAGAGGGCCCCGGTTCCAGAGAGAGCAGCCTGTCCTTAGAGGTCTGCACCCTGTGGATGAGGGACCCACAACACAACAGTTTTGGGAAGACTTTGCCCGTGGGAGGGACTCATGTTGCAGCAGTTTTGGCAGGACTGCTGCCCATGAGATTGGAGACACACTGGGAAAGTTCACGGAGAGCTGTCTCCTGTGGGAGGGACGCCACAGCACAGCAGAGGAAAAACTCCTCTCCTTGAACAAACAGAAAAAGACCTCAGGTGACAATCTGACCAAAACCCCCACACCATGTCTCCCTACACTGTCAGTGGGGAGGAGGGAGAAGCTGAGGGGGAAAAAGATGTTTTAAAGGCTTATTTTACTTCTCATTATCCTCCTTTGACTCGTAATAATAAATTTACTTTATACCTTTAAATTTGAACCTGTTTTGCCCTTAGAATGTTTTTCTCCCAGTCCTCATCTCAACTCGTGATCGTTCATTAATTTTCTTCCCCCTCTCCTCTGCCCAGCTAAGAGCAAAAGAAGGTGAGAGATTGGCTTTCATGGGTGCCTGGCTTATGGCCAGTGTCAAACCACGACATAGACACAAAGCCACAACACCAACCTGCCTGCAAATTTGCATCCCTTTTTCTAGATTAGTGTGACCCAGTTCATATAAAAGCAATGAGATTTTCAGTTTCATGAAGTGCAGAGGGTGGATACTACACAGCACAGTGCAATCAATCCCCAAGAGTGCCAAACACCCTGGGTTTTACCCACCTTTGGGGGCTGCTCTTTGCTGTGGCTCACGCTCCAGAACACGTCGTCCTGGCCGGGGCTGAGCGGTGCTGTCACCATGTCTGACAGAGAGCTGCTGTGGTACACATCCTTACTAGCCCGGAAACTGTCGCACTTGAAACAAAAAAAACACATGTTGAATTGCACTTCCCTGCCTGCCTAACAGGTCACAGTCTCAACAGAGATCAATGGTTCTGCTTGGGAGATAAAATATTTACTAAGCCTGTCAGGACTATTGTGTTTGAATAGAGCCCTATTCACCTTATTCACTGTGTAGTGAGTTACTAATTTCCAGCATGTTAGGCACAAATATCCCAAGGTGAAGGGATAATAAAAAGAAATAGTAAACAAATCTATTCTTTCTGTGTATGTACAGACACCTTTCTTAAATCTATGGAGAAGCAAATAGGTCACTGGCAATGTGCTGGGAGCTACCTACTTGGATGATGCAAAAAATGCTGTGGAGTCACTACATTTCATTGAAACCTAGACAATGCTTCCACTGCAGAATTTCCATAGTCTAATCATTGTGGGAACCCACCTCCCCTAACTTAGATGTTGACATCCAAGATATTTTTTGCATGGCCACCACCAACCCACAGTCAGTGGAGGCAAACTGCCAGCTGCAAACATTTTTAAATGCTCCAGTGATTATGTGGGGACCCTGGTCCTCCTCTGAAACAAATTTTTCAATTACTTGAAAAAAATAAAGATCAAAGTTGAGAATGCAGTAAGAAAGAATGAAATCATGGTCAGATGACACCCTCATGGGTGGTCAAGGCCAGGTGGTGCCACTGCAGGCACCTGTGTTTAAATCATCTCTAAAGGTGTCCAATTAGAGCACCAGGATAGCAAAAACCCCAATCACAGCACAGGAAAGGGAAAGGAATCAAGTTACTTCCTTATAAAGTCGTCACTCTAAGGGAACAAGAAGTAAGCAGTGCAAAACTCAAGCTAAAATATTCAACATTTGGTCCTCTGATTCTTTCTGTAAAAGAAGTCTCCACACTGATGATCTGCTACACCAGTGTCTTCCAAAGAGGAAGAAACTCAGAGTTAAATGTGTCAGCTGAGAGTACTGCCTCCCTGAAATGAGAAATCCTCTTGGACACAACACCAAGACAGAACACACAGAGACTGCCTGAGCTGGGCCTGTCTGCAGGGATTGCTATGCTAGAACTAGTTTGATATTACAGAAATAGAAGAAGTATTAGAGAAATGCCTGAAGCTGTGCCACTCTGTGCTCCACCTCATCTGATCTCCCATGCAGTGCTAGGCCAGGGCTCTCTGGGAGGTGCCTCTTCCTCAAACACATGGCAACATCAGCATCTCCAACACTTGGAGGCCCAAGAATGAAGTTTGCAATTTTTGTCTGAGTCACAGTTCAAACTCCTGTGTCTCAACTGAGTTACTGCAACTTAGACCAGAGGTACTTGCATACACTTTCCCCAAATAATATTTTATTGATTTATCAGATAAATCTATAAAATTCTTCAGTTTCTCCATCCTAAAAAGTAAACCACAGTCACTACAACTTCACACAGATTTCAAGAAGATAACAGGATTACAAACTCTCTATAACTGTACAAGACTAAATTTCATGGGAACAACATTCAACATGAATTAAATATTGACAGGCAGAAATTCTAAAACTAGATAAAGATGTCAAAGATGTCTCATTGTAACCTCCCAGACCAGTATGACGAAGTCAACTGCCAAAGACAGTCCTGAGAAGTTCATTTAGTTATTCAGGTGGTTTTCCTGCCTTTTTGGAACAGTGTGTTCTGTTGATTCTCTTTACAGAAAACAGCATTTTCAGCAGTTGTAACATCTCATAATCTATGTCTTTCCAAAATACCTTTTTGTCCAACATGATTGTCTCTAATAATAGTTTTTAGTTAACCAGAATTATTTGAGCAGCAAAGTGTTCACCTCAAGTGATCCACTGTGGGTCCAGAAACAGGTTTTCTAGCAGGTGTATTATTATCAGAATATAGTAGGATTTTATTTTCTTGCCCCTTTTTCAACAAGACACATATATTTCTTTTTAAATTCCAGCCTTTGAGTCCTGCTGATTACCAGAAAACTATTTGTGTTCAAAAGCATGGATAAGCTTTGCTGAGTCATGATATAAGTGACTGAGTTAATCCAAACTCTGCCCAGTATACCAGTTCTATGTAAAGCCAGGAACAGACACCTGCCTCCACAAGCAAGTCAAAACCATCTCAGATAATCCCCAAAATTAGTGCTTGATATTCTCCTTAGGTTTGTATAGGGGAAAAAAATTTAACACGCCCCCCCCAACAATAATTCTAAACTACTGAGATTTGAACTTTAAATTGTTTTTATTGTAAGTATTATCTAAAGAATAGCAGTTCTCATCATGCACAGAAAGCATTGGTAGAGAAAGTGTTACTGTGTGTCTTCAAACCATAAAGGGACATGTAACTAAGGAAAAGAACACTTTAATCCACAAAATGATAATGGTAAGGTGATATAGCTCAAAAGACTCATTACTAGAGTTAGTTTAAAACCATTTAGATGCAAGAAGTTTTAAAAAGACAGGCTGCATTGCTTTTTTGGAGGATGCCCAAGTTACTAATTTGAACTGAATCTACATAGAGGAGATAGATTAAGTGCAAGTGTTGTTAGGAAACAGCATAAGGAAAAGGAATTTCTTAAACTTCTGAGCAGATGTACTCTGGGATACTAGGGCAGTTCCTAGCTTTACACACAGCTAGCTCTTGTAATATTGTTAGTCTTCTTGTTCTGATTCAGTCACATCACCCCACACAATAGAGAAGATCTACCTAGCAAATCCTATAGGAAAACTACAAGAGTTAATTAAAAATGAAGCTCATTTCAGGTGTGAGCTAAATTTTTCCACTAGTCAGGCAGCAGGAGATGCTGGGCAGAAGATCAGATTCAGTGACTTTGTTCAAGAAGCCTCTGTGAAATTCTGCAAGCAGTCCAAAACAGCTCATCCCACACCACCACAAGCAGAGAGCCAGATCTGCCACTGTACTGCAGCAAACACAAACATGGTACAAAGCAGGTGGAATTGGTACACTCGAACAGGTAGTATCTCACATCTCCCTCAGCAGACAGATAGGATGTAAGGCACTGAGAAATCATGCTCCTTTCACCTCAGGAGCTGTGTTAAATTTCTCAGTGAAATAAATCTGAGAGAGATTTGGGCATCCAGGATGTGCCACAAGATCTCACAAAATACTGTTGAAAATAAGAAGCAATTTTTGTCTGAGCAGAGCAGTGCTGGCAAATGATCTGTCTCTGACAAGTCTGGCTGAAAGTTCTTCAGTGCAGTTTCTGTGATTAATTCAGCTTGCATTTTAACTCCACAGTTCACTTTTATTTTAAATCAACTAGGCACCCACATACTGAACTTCACAAGTGTGTTGTTGTGTCTTTTAATCTCCAGGTGACTACCTGACCCATCACTTCTATTGCTTAAACACCTCATCAGTTAATGCAGGCAGCATGTCCAAACATGCTGCCATTAGCATCAGCAGCTGCTCCCAACTAGCAAAGGGAAAAATAACCCTTCAGGGAATTTATAAATTACCCATTGAAGTTCATGTGGTCTCCATGTGAACACAGCAGGCAGCAGCACAGATTGGCTTCTCCCTGTCCACATGCACTGTCAGCTGGAGCTCTGCTTTGTGAGAGGGTACCAGGGCACCTCCCAGCAGGGAGTGAAATCACACTGCAACTGCTGTGCATCACTTGCTGCTATTATCCTTAAGTAACACCATCATTCTAAACAGCATATATTTTTTGTAGTGTAGCTTCCATCAAGAAATGTGAAAGAAGTTGGTAAATATTGCTTCATTCCCCACCACCCCTGTCCACAGCTTGGAGAGGTGCTGCAAACAGGAAAGCACTGACAGGGTGCAGAGGAATGATCACTTGTCCCAGGTGAAGCAGCCTCTCATCCCAGGAGTGACACCTAAGCAAGGGCGAGACTATCCTCTGTACAGCCACTGTACTCCTGCAGAATCCCAAATGCAATAAACTGTGGATGCTCCCACTGCTGTTACAGGGCTGAAATATTTGCCTCAGGGAAGCTGCCAGCCTCTGCCCAAGGCTAAGATACAAATGTCCTTCTTGTAGACCTTGCATAGCTCTCCAGTGATTTGGTGCTGCAAGCCAGGCCATCAACTCAGCCCACTTACAATACTCGTGACTTGAAACAACAAACAGACCCTGGAAAAAAAAGATGTGAGAACACACACATAAATATTTTTCCAGGTAAAAGCTATCAGGTGAAATGAGGCCTTTCTGCTCACATCTGTCTCTGGTGATTTTTCCATCATCACCAAACAGCAAAGCAACCTGAAGAGGAAAAGCACAGGGAGGCTTTGACTCAGAGACACTAAGAGCCAGCTATTATCCACCTCCCAGGCTCTCAGACTCACTCCAGGGCATAAACCTAAGCAGGATAGGGGAGAGCTGCATCCCCACATCCTGCTGGGGAATTCCAACTACTCCTGTATCTGCTGGGAAAGCAGCACAGTGAGCTGTAGGCAGTCCAGCAGAGTCCTGGAATGCACAGAGGATGACTTTCTGCCAGGTGGTAGGCAGCCCTGACAGGGGGGATGCAATACTGGTCCTGAGGGTCACCAACACAGGGGAGCTAATCAGTGAACTCAAGGCTGAAGGCAGCTGGGGCTGCAGTGATCACACACTGGTAGAGTTCATAGTTCTGAAGGATATGGCTCAGGCAAAAGGTAAAGTCAGAACCCTGCATTTTAGGAAAGTAAGGAAAGAAATTCTTATGATGAAGGTGGTGCAACACTGGAGAAGGTTGCCCAGAGAGGCTGCAGATGTCCCATCTCTGGAAACATTCAAGACCAGGCTGGACAGGGCTCTGAGCAACCTGATCTATTTGAAAATATCCCTGCTCATGGTGGAGAGGTTGGACTAAGTGACTCTTAGAGGTCCCTTCTGACCCAAACCATGCTATGACTCTCTGACCTTTCATGGAGGATGTTCACATGAAGCTCATGCCAAGCAAAATCAACAATGAGTATAAGAAACATTTAGGATAATACAACCTGATCTCATAGAAATAACCCATAATTGCAGGTGTGCTCAAAGTACAAAGACCTACACTGTTGCTTTAGTGAGGCAGCATGAAAGCAGCTGAGCTGCACCCAATAACCCATCCTTCTCTGCAGTCTGACCTTCCCCCTTTGACTCCCTGACCCAGAGCAGAATGAGGTCACAAGATGCCACAGCAGCACACAAACAATGCCTAAGCCTGATCTGAATGCCAGTCTCCTGTGGGTAGCAGTAGCTAAATCCCACAGAATCAATTTGAGAGATGCCTACAAAAACTATCCATCTATCCATGCATCCAGAGGTCCAGTGGAAACTGAGAGCTGCCAAGATTAAAACTAGTGCTAGGACTGTATGTCCTCTCTGAGGGGATGAATGAATGCAAAATGAAATACTATGTAAAATGTACAGCAGTAAACTATGTAAAATGTAAACCTATGTAAATTGTACCAGCAGTAAGATTATTCTGGCCACTGCACACCTTCTGAAGAAGAGGAGATATTCAGGCTAAATGACTTGTGCTCACACTTATAGTAGTTTATTCCATTTTTACTTGCTGTTTTGTTTTTCTTTTGCTCACATATGCTTACAGCCTTTTCACAAGAGAGTGGAGAAAAAACCCTGCAGTCCAAGCTACTTCATATACACTGTGAGGATGCTGAAAGGATGCCCAATTTTTGGGCACATTGTGAGAACCATGCATCACCTCTTCCAGAACTGGTAAAAATATCAGGAGCTAAAATGTTTTAAGAGAAGGATTCCAATGCAGAACTTCATCAGAATGCTTTCACTCCACAGGTACTGTTTAGATCCCACTTCTGTATCTAATACTGAAGTTTTAAAAGACTCAGACTTTCAGGGCTCTACCCACAGGCAAAATCTCATTCTGCATTGCTCCTTATTGTATCTCCACATACTTACAGATTATTTCATAAGATCAATAAAAATCTTGATTGTTTACATGGTTTCACTCATAAAAAAACTGGGTTTGGATGTAAAGTGCCATATACATTTATGGCACCATATAAATAATACATCATCCAGGGACTGCAACAGCACTGTCACTCAGACTTTCTGTGAAACATCCAAGAGGAATTTCATGGAATCAACAATCAGGTATCAAGCATAAAAAATAACTCTTATCTAATCCTGATCTGCAGTGCTTAAGTATAATTCTACATAGAACCCAGCAGCAGAGGTGGCACCACAAAATCTCGGGCCGGTTTGCACAGGCCTCAGTGACCTGCTCCAGAAGGGAATTCTGTTTCTGATGGGTTGTCCTGCCTAGAAGCACCCCTGGCCCCTGGTCCCCAGCCAGGGCAGCAGTACCTGCACTACCAGGGCTCTCTGTGGTGCGGGGGTGCAGGGGCTGGAGCTGCTCCCGGATCCCATCCTGGGCTGTGGGGAGGCCTCGTGTCCCAGCGCCACTGGCCACTGCAGGGAGGGATGGATGCTGTCACTCTTCTTTGCTCCTCTTTGGTCCTCGGCCTGGGAAGGACAAAAGAGCAGCACATTGCACAAAGAGCCTGGGTTTGTGGGCTGGATGCTGTCCCACAGCAGCACAGAGCACAAACCTCTGACAGACCTTCCCACCAAGGAGGACAGCCTTGGCACAGCACAAACCACTCTTTCCTTTCCATTTGCAACCCTTCCTTTTCCATCAAGTTTGCAAGCTGCAGCAAGGAGAAGGGCCTGAGTTTCCATCTGCTGTATTCTAGGCCACTCCTTTGGCTGCAGGCTGGGATTTTAGCTGGGAGGAATCATGTGTCTCTACTTACTTATCTTGGACCACATGCAGCCTGTTTTGCTGTGCATTAATTACCCCCTTCCACAGCATTGACATTACTGCATGTTGCTTTCTACCTTAAAACACTTTTAACACTCTGTCTTTTGGTATGTTACTTGTACTGTGAGAAAGACTGAGGAACATGATCTAGAAGGAACAAATTTCCTGAGGGCATTGCTCATTACGGAAGTCTTTATCCTGTGGTTTTGACCCTACTACTCTCTTCAATTCTTTTCAACATGACTAATTCTCATTCTCTAGTGTAAATCTTTAGCATATCCTCTGATTCAGCAGCCTGGAAACAACCCTACGCAGTAAACTAGAGATTAATGCCATAAAAATACTCTTTTATCTGTGTTGGGGTGGGAATTTTTAATGCTATCTCTCACTGTATCTGGATGTTTGTGCCTGTATCAGAAAGGTAAGCATATTCTTAGCACAGCCTAGAAACTGCTGAGGACATGGAAAATGATTCCACTTAGTCGCACAGATCCCCACTGTGGGAAAAAAGAAGACCGAAATGTGAAAAAAAACAAACCCCTTACTAACACAAGCAACCACAGCTAAACACTATGAAATTCCAGCCCCAGTGAACATGTTCTCGAGACCACATTTTCACTACCTGCAACTCATAATAATGAAAGGCAAATTTTACCATAAGCAAGGAAGGAAATGTAAAAGCCAGATATGGTAATTCACCTCCCAGCTCTGTGCCCACAGGGAGCTGGCACAAAAGGTTTTATGATCCAGACACAAACTCAAGCAGGGGAAAATTGTCCTGACCTGCTGGGCACAGGATAAGCACAATAGCAATGACAAGGGACTTCCCAAAGTGGGTTCTGCACCCCCAAACATTAAACTTGAGGTTTGGAGGGCTTTAGGATTCTTTGTTTGTTTTTAATGTCTCAACGAAACAATAATTCTTAAGAGCTTCTGTGTACCAATGACTGGTGCTAGAAAGGGGACCCCTACAAAGTACAAACAAACTCACTCTTGTGTAGTCTACCACTGTCCCCATGCAGGTCCCACTCAACAGAGGAACTAATATCTCTCTGGCTAATGAACTGGAAAAGATAAGTATCAGCAGGAGCAAAAGCACTGACTTATCCCTGTTAAAAACAGTTACAGCTTTAAAGCGATTTTAAATCATTGCAAACAGTTACGACTGCTGACAAAAAAGTCTCAACCAAAAAATGCAACCCTGTACCACCAATTTAGTGGAAGGACCTCTGACTTCCAAGAAGTTCTGAGGTTAAGTAAATAGTATTGTACAATACCTTGAAAACTAGAATATATTACTGTAGCCATAATGACAAAAGCCTCATGCTGTGAACCTAAAACACAACTAATTATACTATATTTCACCACTAAATTAAAAGTTAACAGTGTCTGCACACTAAATTCTGTAACATATTTCATTTTGCTTTCATTTACAAGGAGTCATTTACAAAACACATGCCAAAACCAGAGATGAGTATCTAAGACAGTATTTTATTGTTTTTTTTGTCTTCTAACTACAATAAAGTAGAAGATAAATTAATCATCTGAGTTGCATTTTCACCCATTAAATACCTAACAAAGGCAAAGCTTTTCTACTGACTTTGATGTTGTGTATTTAGAAAAAGCAGCTTACTTCTCTGTCCACACTCAATTTGCTCCTCAGCTGGAATAAGCCCCAGCCCTCCATCATCAAACAAATACCGATTTCAAATTTTAGTAATGATTTGTTTAATCAGTCAGTACAATAAAGCCTTTAGAGCCAGGGCGTTTGTGGTTTTGACAGTTAGGCTGTACTTCAAACAGAATTACTCTCGTTTTCACAAACTGCTCCTCTAACAAGGAGCTCAATATCTTTTGTTTTCCTCACTTCATGGTGCTGCTTGGCTGTTTGCAGACTCTATTCCGTTACTGAAATTCATCATTTCACCAATCCTAGCAGTTACATTTAACTATCAATACAGGACATTTCAGCTCAGGGAATAGTTGCAGCACACACACACAAGAAAATGACAAAGATGGCACATGCTTGGAGGTAGCAGCAAGGTGTTAAGAAGCTGCACTGATTTCTCCTATTTACATGTGCATGAGTTCCCCTCATGCCTCTGTTTGGGCATTTTGGGAAGACACTTTGGCATGAGTGCAGAGAACATTATATACACTCTTCTACTGAGGAGGCACCTGTGAGCTGCTGAGATTTTTGACCCAGACTTTAGTGACACAACAAATCACACACCAGCTGTAGAACTGGGTTAACCAGTTGGGATTATATAAAAAAGCATGCTAGGAATGAGGAGGTAAGATATGGAAATGGACCCATAGAGCTTTTCAGGATATGGTGACAGTGACCAGAATGAGTTGGTGGGTAGAAATACTGTTAGAGTATTTCTAATATTGTAATAGAGTTAGCAAAGGAGGAAAACGGATTACAGTAGAGGCTGATGATATGTGGCTATCCCTGATCCATCAAACCTTATCCTGGGGCATACAAGACAATAAAAGGCATCACAGCCTGCCTGCTGGGGCACAGAGATCTGTGCTCAGGAGTTAGGATGCCATTCTGTGCCTGGGTCAATTCTGTGAACCCTAACATCAGGCAAAGACCTCTATTAAACCTCAGGTGGTATCACCTTATTTCATGCCTCTTTGAAAGACAAGGGAATGACACCTATTTGACCAGAAGAACCTCGTTTCTCCCCTCACCAACCAAACACTTCTCTCAACTCAAGCAGAAGTGACAGAACAATTCTTCCTTTCCTTTATCCCCTGAATATTAATGGAAACTGAAGAATGCAGTGCAAGAGTGTAGGAAGACAGGTCAAGCTCCAGATGTAGGTTTAAAGATCAGTCAGCTTTCTGATTCAGCATTCCTACAGCATCATAACTACAAAGCACCAAAATGCTGCCCTGGCCAAGACAATACCTCTTTGCTTGTGCTGCTTGATGGAGGATGCACTCCTGCATTTGAAGTCTTGGAAGGCTCCTTCTTCTTCTGCCTGTGATCATGCTGGAGAGACAGCAGCTGTGTCTGATCTTTGGGGAGAGTTCGGTGCATCTTCCTGTTGTGCTGCACATCTTCCATCTTCTGAAAGCAGAGAGATGAACCTCAGAGACAATGATGCCTTGGAGGACAAACAAGTTGCTGGAAATAGTGGCTTTTCAAACAAAGTGACCACAATTCCAGCAGAGCTGACAGAAGAGTCAGAACCTCGAGCAACAGGAAGAGTAAAGTGGCACCAAACACTGCTTGGCTTTTTAGACAGCAGGTCAGAAAATTGTATTTGTTCTTTTTACTTTTACTAAAACCAGAGATCTTTAACCAAACACTGCATGCTTCTGTTTGATTACAGATCAATTTGCAGCTGAAACATTAAAAAAAACATTGTGGCCAAGGTGACAGACTTGATAATGACAGTTCAGCATCAAAATTAACCTCTGATCCATTGTTTTTGTGAACAAGAAATTGTCCTGGTTACAACATGAATGCAAAATGGGGACTGGAGATTTAAGATTAGGTTTAGCTGATGCTGGTAGCTTTCAGGGTAAAGGAATTTTAAACAGACCATTTCAGCCCAGAGAAACAGCAGGGACAAAAGTGGGAGAGGCAGTGTCCCTGCTGTAGATAAGGAGGGTAACTCAGTAACATCTAAGTTTACTCAAAGGAAGGCTGAATCTGAGAACAAGAGGCCGTAAATGCATTAGTGAAGTCCCTCTTTGGTCCATGACTCAGAGGATAGGAACACCCTCAGGGAACTGAGAAAGACATCAGATACCGAACAGGGAGCTGCAAACTGCTGTCAGCAAACACCCTCTTCATACCTGCTTCTTCTCTAATTTCCTCTGTCCATCTACTATGAAGTATTCATCTTCCACAGCCCTTTTGTCTTCTTTACCCCTTTCCTCTTTCCTCTGACTGACCTTTGCCTCTGGCCACCTCTGCTCACACTCCTGTTGCCTTCGTAGCTCCTGCTCTCTCTTCTGGTGCTGGAAGAAAGCCAGGGGATAACATTGCTTATTTTACTTTACTTTAGTACCCACCAATTACTGATGCCAGTGTTCATAAATCACAAGGCCCATTTCCTGCTCTGCAGTCACTAAAGAGGGGACACCTGACACACCACAGAGCAAAAGTGGGCAAGGAGAAGCTGCCACCACCGTGACTGCCAAACCTGAAGTGAAACCTCTGCTCTTTTGGCAGCCCAGGGCAAATCTGTCATTTATGAGGCATGTGAGATTGCCCTGACAGCTGGCCATTAATCTAATGACAAATGTCTTCCCAACATTTCAAGAAGGAAGAGTTTCTTTTTCCAGAGCATTCCCATCTTGCTGGAGCTGCACTGTGCTTCACAAATGTCAGCTCTGAAGTGTTCACACAAGGCTTGAGTTTTGTCAGATATTCAAGAGAAGAGACATGTTGGTGAATTTTGTGTTGTGCCACTGCAACAAAGACATTGAGGGCCTGGAGTGTGTCCAGAGAAGAGCAACAGAGCTGTGGAGGAGTGTGGAGCACAGGTGTGATGAGGAGCAGCTGAGGGAGCTGAGAGTGTTCAGCCTGGAGAAAAGGAGGCTCAGGGGGGACCTTATTGCTCTGCACAACTCCCTGACAGGAGGTTGTAGCCTGGTGGAGGACAGGCTCTTCTCCCAGGTAACAAACAAGTTGTGCCATGGGAGGTTTAGACTGGATATTAGGAACAATTTGTTCACTGAAAGGCTAGTCAGGCATTGGAACAGACTGCCCAGGGAAGTGATGGAACCACCACTCCTGCAAGTGTTAAAAAAACCTACGTGGATGTGGCACTTAGGACCAAGATATAGTGGTGGACACATCAGTGTTGGGTTAATGATTGGACTGGATCCTAGAGGTCTTTTCCAACCTTAATGGTTCTGTGATTTTATGATTTAGCTCTGCCTCTAAGACAACAGTGTGTCAGGCAGCTGAAAAGGCAACCAGCTGTCTTTTAATATCTTAAACAAAAGCAGGGCCAAGACGCTGGACCAGACCAACAGACTGCAAACTGGGAAATGCATATGAGGAAGAAATGGGGATCTCTCACCACATCTGCCAGGCTACCACCACCAAACCTACTCGAACAAATGCCCTTCCTCTTCTGCTCACACAGTTCAGGGCAGGTTATCAGCAGGAAAAGGACAAAGCCCATCTAAAACCATTGTGTTCAAAAGTGACACAGTTCCCCCAAGGTGCAAGATTAAGATCCAGGCTGAGCTGATAATTGAACAGAGCCCTCTTGCCTTGCAAAGCCTACTCCCTACAGGGACATTTTTCATTTGTGATGAAATAACAAAATTTGTGATGGAGTAACAACAAAGCCAGCCCCCTACATCCTCCAGCCTCCTCCTCTGCTCCTTCTGCTGCTCGATGCGCTTCTGCCGCTCTGCCAGCAGCTGTTTCTTGTACTTCTCCTGGTCCTTCAGCTGCTGCTGCTGCCGATGAGGGTCCGAACGGGTTTTGTTCTCCTGCTGCAGCCTCAGAAATTCACGGCGGAGAGTTGACTCCCCTGGGAGATTAACGATGGAGCTGAAACAAAGAGGAGGTTTCTACGTGAGAAAACACAGCATTAAAGAGAGAATACAAGGTGCTTTGAGAATGTTTCTTGCCCTGTGTTAGCAAACCACGATATGTCTCCAGCAGCACCTGGTGTGCTGCAAACCAGCCTGAAGCTGATTATTGGGTCCTTCATTTGACAGCTTCCCCCCTACTGCAAGGAAACTAAAGCAGCAGCTTATTACAGACATTTTATACTCAGCAGTTGTGTTTGACAGCAACAAAACAGTTAAAGCTACCAAAAGGCAACCAGGAGATTAAGGATTTAGAGCAAGTTAAGAAAGCTGTTATGGCTGAGGAGAGGCTGCCTCCAGTGAGAACAGATTGGGCAGTCAAATTTTCTATTTCAGTAATAAAATTAACCTTGGTTCTCCTTCATCTTCATTCAGCTCATCATCTTCCTCCTCACTTCCACTGTAATCATAGTCTGTTTCTTCTAAAAAGGAGAATAAACAAACACCAGAGGAGGATGCTGTTATTTAAGACACGATCTTGACCTTTATTTTTGAGCATTCAGCCTGAACTACAGGCTATAGAGGAACTGGAATTTAAAAGTCACATGTTGTACTGGGAGGCTGAAGGGAGGTAAAATATCCATGTACATAATTCAAAATCTAGTTCAGATAATGATTCAGGGCAGCCCCGTTACACACACCCACCTTTTCCCGTGACTGACTGTATTGGTTTTGCAAAACTAACCTACTTCCATAATCTGAAACAAATTAGGCTAAACCCACAGAGAAACCCAACCCCCACAGCACCACCAGCAGAGGGGTTCTTCAAAAAGAAGATAGGCTATAAAAGCTTGCACTGCCCTGCTCTGCTCTCTGTACCTGTGTCATGGCTATGCTGAGGCCACCAGTAAATCCAGGTTTCCTTTCGTATCAAAGGGAATTATTAAGTAAGCAAAAAAGAAAAGAAAAACTAATACTAGTTTTAGCACAAAATTTCAAAAGCTAACCCATAGTTTTAAAGTTCTCTTCAAGACTGACATGAAGGCAGTTTTTAAAGGATAATTTCAAACTGGACCTACCCTGCATTGTTGGCTGTATTACATGCTAAATTGGGACCTCATTTTTTTGAAGTAACTATTTTGAAGTGTGTAGTCTGGTAATTCCACACTATTCTCCTTTTCAGGGGAGTTTTGATTAAAAATAGCATTTTCAGGTCAAAATATAACTATTTATGAAGAAGTGACTATTATCTTTTCATTCCTCCACCCCTCTCAAGGGCATTTGTGAGAAATTCTAACTCACTATATTTCTATTTCAGTGTGCTTTGAGATTCATAGCTGAAAGAGGTGGCAGAATTTGCAACTACTACTGGAGTCAGTAAATCTGCTTTGCAACAGCAATTTCATTTTAGGTGCTAATACTCCTGTTGTCCAGTCAGGGCATTTATAAGACACCTTCCAACTTCCATAGTGCTTTCTAAGCTTGCTCTCACAGTGCTTCTGGCAGTATAAAACATACTGAAGGGGAGAAGGAGAGAGAGGGCAGGATTGTTGGTCAAGAGGCCACATATCTTTGTTCCCTTTGTACAAAAAAGTACAAAGTTTTTTGCCCCTTAGCAAAAAACTGCACAGGCATTTTTCACAAGTATCACCCCCATTCCTTCACTGCCTCTTCCAGCTTTTGCTCTGAAGGGTAAGGCTGGCATTTGGAACAAATCTGAACTCTCTTTTTCTTCATACACACTGTGAAGGAAGTTATTCATTATTAACATCTGTATTTTACTGGAGCTTGGAGGTCTGCTCTAGGTCTCTTGTGCACTCGATTGCAAAACACTTAAAGAACCCTTCTGCCCCCAAAGAACACACAAGACAAAATTACATGGAGATACAACAGGTAAATCAATTAGATCTGGGACAGAAGTATGAACTGAGAGACCAGGAAACACTTGTGGAGCACTGCTCAGAGACCCAGACTTTACTTGGAGTCCTTGCTCCCTGCTAGCATCAGGGCTGCTCTCAATAACTCCCAAGGTTCCAAGGACTTTAGAACTAAAACACCACCACAGACCCAGGCTTTGACAAAGGAATCTTCAAAGTGGCCCCACTATCATGGACAATGCTTTCTCAATTTTCCTGGTTCTAGTATTTCAGCTGCATCTGCCTTGTGCTCTGCTGCCAAAACTTGAAGTGTCCTTCATTTTGTTTTTGCCATGTTACCCTTTTCTCCTTTTTTCTTCCTTGTCCTGTCCAGGTGATCCTTCAGCATGATGCGCACTTGCCGCTCGTTCTGCATGTCTCGGATGAAGGAATGCTTCAGCAGGGTCTCCGTGGATGGGCGATGCAAATAATGCTTTACAAGGCAGCTTTCAACAAAATTTAGGAACTTCTTTGACCTAAAAAAGACACAACAGTGGAGAAAGACCCATAATCCTTTTCAACTTGTGGTCCAAGCACTACCCCTGAGTAGTGGAAAGCACTGACTGTGCAAGGTTTCCTTCTGTGCTGGAGCTGAGAGACAATTGGAGCTCTGCCTCCAGTGAGAATCCTGTGACCAGCACAGTGCTGAAGGTGAACTCCACCTCACCACCCTCTCAGAGGAGTTATTACCTTGAATTTATATCCTGATCAATGAAACCACGATCTGGCCAACACAAGCTTTTCAAAAATGTCCCTTACCTTTTGATAAGGTGAAGATTTTCTTTATACACTTAATTTAAAAGAAAAAGTAATTCTCTGTAGGGCAGGTGACTTCTATTAGCCCCACAACGTCCAAGCAATCTCCTGATAAAGCCCTGACCCCAAGAAACACATCTAAGTTTCCTTGTTTATCCTGAAATTTTGGCCACAGACACCAAAATGAAACAACTGCCACAGTTTAGGCAGAGTTCAGAAGAAAGATGTTACTTCCCAAATGTAAACTATATCTGCCCTCTGACTCAATCCAGCTCTTAGAGACAGTTTAGGAATCATCTCCTAGATAACTAGATGATTTAACAAAACCATTGTCTCTGGACAAGAGAGCTAAAAGCCCTCCTAAGCCCACTGCAGAAAAAATTCAGGTTTTTTTACACATCTCTTTACCATTTTCTGGATTTCAACTTTGGAGGTGGGTTCCTTGGGATGAGGAAGAGTGCTCTCATGGGATGCATGTCACACAGGGCTGCAAAGGAAACCACAAATTATGGAAGGATACATGTACCTCCTGTGACCTCACTTCCCACTTCCAAACTCCTCCACTTCCAACATTACAGGATCTGCCCCAGAACCCAGCCAGGAGCCAACTAAATTCACACTACAGCCAAGAAATTAAGTCTCTGAGCACATAGAGATTTCCAGCTAAAAGAGATTAAAAAGAAAGGCTGCAAGGCAAGAACAAGTACAAGTTTCTTCATATTTTCTATATACATAGCTTTGGAAGGACATAAAAAAGCTCACCTTTCCCATACACAAAAGTGTGTTTGCACATAAACAGAAGTTAAAGCTGAGATTGAAATATTTGTCTAGTTATTATGTCTGGCTTCTGGTTTCAGATAAATGATAAGCTCCATTTTAACCAAACTGTTTCTCACATTGTTCATGGTATATGAGAAAACCCAGGATGAAGAAAAGCTGATACAAAGCACAGAGCTCATAACCAGCACTGTGGAACAGAGCAGAATGACTGAGCACACATTTCATCCATCCTGTGCTCTGGGAATGGGAGCACCATTATCAGGAAATCTGCCACAGATTCCACTTCTGTATTCAGAAGCTACCTTCACTCCAGCCCACTGCACTTCTCTTTAGGGCTAGTGCTGTGGAAAGTTGAAGCTATGAGGAACTCAGCAGAAAGCAAATACCATCACATCTCATCTATCCCAGACACTTTGTATGTATGTTTGAATTTTGAATCTGTTCTATCTGGCAGGGAGAAATGTCGAGGGTAAAAGGTCTTCCTTCACCAAACAGAGCTACTGAATGACAACTGATGGGAACTACATGGAGGCTGATTTCTTATAATATTTAGGTGATATTATTAAGAGCAGTGATGCTCTTGAAAGAAATGGACTTAAAGCATTACAGAACCAGTAGAAGTGAGAAAACTGTGCTCTGGTAAAGCTTTCCCTACCTTCTATTAATTTCTGTCTGCCTAGGTTTCTCGCATTTGGTTCTGGCTTTGACTTTTTCCTTGGTATGCTCAATAGTACATGATACAGTGGAAATGAGGGGCAGAGGTCTGGTTTCTAGATCTGGGTCCCAGACACTGTTGTACTGCAGTAAACAAAACACAAGGCAACAGAATATAATCCACAGCACTTCCCTGTCAAAACTACAGAAAACATCAAATACATGAGGAGCTGGCATGAAAAAGTCTCTCCCAAAGAAAACTCCCCATGGACTCATGTCTCGGGACTAAGCTTCAGTCAGGCTAAAGCACAGTCTGAAAGTGCTCCTGAACTCCAGCTGGCTCCTGCTAAAAACCAAGTCTGATGGGAGAACAGCCAAGTGGGTTGTTTAGAAACAGCCTACGTGCTCTCAGGCTCAGGCCAGAGTATGATGGATTTCATCTCCCGTGCTCTCAGCAGTGACCAGACACCCCACATATCCCATCTGCTCCAGGACCTGGGGCAAAGCACCAGCCCTCCATGCAAACAAAAATGCACGAGGACTTTGCACTCACAGATCTCTACATGCCCTGCAAGAGACTCTCTGGGGGAGTGAGGGGGCAGCACGCTGGAAAACTGTGGCAATCTGCTCTCAGGCTGAGAGTGTGGTCACAGCTCAAAGCCATTATATGTGAGTAAATGCCCTATTCATACAAACTCTGTGAGAAAAAAGTCAGTTTCAGGGTACAAATATAACCTTTAGGCTACCTTCTTCCACTGTCATCATTTTTTCTAGTGACCTAAACCCAAAGCCACTTCAGCCAATATTTTCTGCTAACATATCAATCACTTCTACTTAGCTGTATCCACAGGCAGCAATCAACAAACTGATGCTAACAAGAGTTTAAGAACAAAAGTTTTGTTTTCCCAGGAGATGAAGGCAAGGACTCAAAACATTGACTGAAAGAGTCTAAAAGGAAGAGAACGCAATACAATCCAAATGAGAAAACTGTGCATCAGTGCATTTGCCAAGGATGAGTTATTTTAACACAGAACACCCCCACCTTTATAGCAAATAACTTACGAGGTGCTCCTTCAGCCATTTCAATAGCAGTGATTCCCAGAGACCACAGGTCACTCTGCAGGAAAAGAAACAATGCACATTGCAGCTTGCAGCATTCAAGCCTGTTTGTTCCATTTGTTTGTTTTCTTCTTGGTTTTGTTGGGTTTTTTTTTTTAAGTTTCCCTGGATCTCTCCTGGATCATGTTGTTTTACTTGGAGTGACAAATATTCACTCCCTCCCACTCCCTACTGAGCTTTTCGGAAACATGCTAATAGTCGGAATCTTCCCATTTCCCATGCAACTCTGGACAGCTGATCCATCCTTTATGCATCCAGCCCTAAAATGCAGACCTTCTGCACTGAGAAAACAAGAGCCAGACAGAATATAGCAGGCACTGTTTAAATGTATGTCTTAAATCTCTTTTCATGAGGCAGCAAGACACAGCAGTGTCTCACCCTTCTCCTTCTGGCCAAAAATAATTCTTGGTCTTAATGCTTATTTCAGAGCAGTCATTGCTGAGTTCTACACTGATGGAACAGGAATTAAAGTCAGGCCTTGGGGTCTGACTTTTGCTGTACAAAGTCTCTAGTCACACGTTTTTGGGCACATGAGAGAAGAGTACATCATGCAGTCAGATTTATGCCACAATGTATATTCATCTCAGTTAACAGAGTGGAGTTCTCTTTATCAGCTGATCTGGATGCCAAGGGCCAGGTTTTGATCATGGAAGGTAAATTGCAACCACCATCAGCGGCTGTAAAAACTTCACACGTTTCCACTTGATTAATCATGTGCATTATTTCAGTATTTTCTGTGTCTAAATGTAGCCAAATGAGAGGCATGTGGCCAAACCAACTTGCAGAGCTTCTCTAAAACTCATCTTTAAAAAAAAAAGTGACAGAAAACCTCCAAATATTAGAAGGAATAAACCATTACATTAATAGCAGTTCATACCAAGCCCAGCACTCTAAATCTAATTTTATCAACAGAGCCCTCTCAGTCCAGCTGCTCTGAACCCTTCATACAAGCTGAAAGCCAGTTCACATCACAGTTTGTGGAGGGATTCAGCAACAAAACTGGTGGGGATTTCATAGATCCATGATCCTGACTTGTTATTTAGTAAATGACTGAAAATTGAGAGTCTTCAAGGGGTAATACTGTAGGTTTTGAAGACAGTGAGAGAAACATCCAGGCTACAAGAAATTTTGGTTTGGAGTTCCAAAGCATGAGAGGCAGGCAGGTGTAAGGGAGGGTGACAGCAGTGTTTGTAAAGCTCAGTGTCTATATAAACATAATTATGTGGATATATTTGTACTTGTTTTGTCTTGTTTGGTTGTTCTGGCTACTTAGCCCATCCTATCAGGTAAAAGTCTCTGTGGGAAAAACCAGCCCTATGCAACCTTCTGGGTCACAGCACTGTTTGCACAAGTGCTTCCAAAACCCTCTGCTGATCAATTTTAAAACACCATTTGCAGTATCTGTTTGGAAGCAGACAAAGAAGGATTATTACTGAAGGCAAAGAAAACTCAAGAATTAGGGGTGCACATTCTACATGATTGTATCTTCTGGTAAGTACACATTCAGAGAAAGAACTCAACTGGGGACAGGGAATGAAGATATGATTAACTTCTTGAGATTTCAGTAGAAGATTGCTATGATATGGAAAAAAAATGAATATTCTTTAGTATGACTGACACACACACAACATGGCCTTGCTGGGCCAGTGCAGCACAGAAGGTCTCAGAAAGAGAGAATCACAGCCTCTGAATCAGGAGGAAATGGAAGCAAAACCAGGTTCTTCATAAATATTTCTGAAGCCACAAATGGAAGGAGAGGTGTAAAGTGGCAATGGAGGAAGCACCTGAACTAAAAGAGTGACTGGAGGGTCACCCAGAAGATACCTGCTCAAAAAGCCATCCCTGGAAAACACACTGCATGGTGAGGACAAGAGGCAATGCTCACCAACTGCAATACAGGAAATTCTGTCCCTTCCCACCTCAGCCACCCTGCCACTAACCAGAAATCATTCTGGGATAGGAAACCACTTGCAGTCACATGCTCATAAATGAGCAAAGGGGTAGTAATTACTGCCAATTAACTCAGGATTCACAGCTGAGTAGAGCAAAACAGCTCTACCACAGTGTGCAGTAACTTGCCATATTAATATTGCACTAGTTCAAGCATTCCTTTGGAACTCCTCTCTTCTTTTCTTTTCTATCCAGACCTGCAACCTTCTTAGTATTTTTTTTATTTCAGAGAGGTTCACAAAAGTGTATTTCATGTATTAAAAATTCAGAAAAAATACAGTGAAACCTCACTCTTAAAAAGAGCCTCCACCCACATATTACAAATACTTCTGTTCGTATAGTTCTAGTATTATTGTGGTTTAAAAGGCAGGAAGTTAGAACTTTTCAAATGAGCAGGGTTTCAGCAATAACCCACATGTTTTCTTACCTTCTGGAGTGTTTAACACTTACTCTGTAATCATATGTAGAGTCTGGGTTCTCCTCACATGCAATGACCTCGGGTGCCATCCAATATGGGGTGCCAATAAATGTGTTTCTTCTCCCAATAGTCCTGTCCAGCTGAGCACTTACACCAAAATCCACTGAAAAGCCAAGGAGAGGTAAAGGAATTAGCAAAGAGTTGTATCCACATAGCGGAGTGTGTGCTTGGTCACTTTCATACTGTTTAGAACACCAAACCTTTGGGTTACAATATATATGAAATCTGAGCTCCTCCAGCACATCTTCTCCAATAGTTGAAATTTATTTGCCTCTTTTCCCCCACTTCTTTTTGACAGAAGAATTAAATAAACAGCATGCTAAAACTGACCGGTGTGTTACAGCAAGAGGAATTGCTCTACAAGACATTATGGAATAATTTATGCTTAATTGAGTAGGACTCAAGGTCTTCAACTAGACTGAAAGCAAAAATAGTGTCTACACACAAGGCAAATTTGGATGTGTCTAATATAACCACTTGTGAAAGCTGGAAATATCCACTGCATGACTTCATTTTGAGGTGTCTGGAATGAATCCTTCCCTACCTTCAAACACTATCTTAGAACAAACTGGAGAATCTACTACTTTATTCTCATCTGAGATCATTATAATAAATGAATCCTGTGGTTCCCTTTGTGCTGAAAAGGGTGATACTTTCATAAGGTCTGCACAGCAAAATGGTTTTGTTCAAATATGAAAAGGGTCCATACAACCAATAAATATGTGATTGCATTTCTCTTTGAACAAAACCCCAAGATACACTAATTGGATCCAGTGGGGTAGCACTGGATTGGTATTCACAGAGACAAAGGAAGGGGGAAAGAGGACTGAAAGGAGACAGGCCCATGGTTTCCATCAAGGAGCAGATTTTCTCATTGATGTTGCCTCATTGCAGATTATCTGCAAACCAAAATAATTTGTAGTGCTATAATTTCATGTGCCTGCTTAGCAAACCTTCTCCAAGAAGGTGGACCTGACCTTTGGGAACATCCTGTGCTCTGTGCTCCTCATGGGAAGTGCACACTCACACTGAGGTGGAATAGAATTGAATTGAGAACCTCTTGGCTTTCTAGCTTCTTTGCCTTAAGACACATGAGCTAAATCTCTCTGGAAATAACTTTTTTTCTTCTTTTTAAAAATTATTATATATTTAATATTTAATAAATATTATTATATTTAATCTTTACCCAGAGTTAGAAATGTTTAACAGCTTTGTCAACCATGTGAAGAATGCTGGAAGTAATAACTATACAGGACTATAAAACATACAACACCTCTATCTTACCTGTTTTGAGAGGGAACAGTTGACAATTAGTACATATGAATTAGAGACTACAAGAAAAATCCTGCCTCCATTTAATCTGACAGCAAAACTCCCTTTGACTTCAGTGAAGCCGGGTTTCTGCCACAAGGTTAAACCATAATGAGATTTAAAGTACTTATTTTACTTGCTCCAACCAAATATCCTATCCCACATCCACAAGCCATGTTTATTATTTGTTGTTTTCCAACTCTCCAGTGAATTTTTTCAGTTAAAGAGAGAGGGACTGTAAAGATCATCACAAAGAAGAATTGCTTCCCTTGAGATTTCTCCTTTAAAACACTTCCCTGTGATGTCTTTCCAAAACATGAAAGACATGCCCTCCTCAAGAGAGATATGTACTTGAGTTTAGTTTTAGGAAGTCAGAGGCTGTCAACACTGACATGTCACAGTAATACAAGGAAATGAGTAAACCCTCCAACCTTTTTGAGAGATGACTGTTATTCAGTGGTAGCCCTTACACATGAGTAATTCCACCTACTGTCAGATTTATGCAAATCTCTAAGACCACTTCCTTTAGAAAAATGGATTAGCAAAATTCGTTCCCCCAGCTTTTTTACTTTGGAAGTCTTTTGCATCCCAGGACTCTCTGTGAAGGCCTGCTGGTGCTGTGATTACTGGGCTGGTTCTGTGTGTGACTGTGTGTATTGCCCTCAGGCTGTGAGGGACACCCTTGCAGAACACTTTACATTTTCAACTTCTACATTACAGACACCTTGTAAGCACAAGCATCAATGATACTTGGCACACATGCTGCACTTAGGTTACTGAAAGTTCTTTCTGAGTCAAGATGGAAACCTTAATTTTAACTAACAGGTTTCTAGCACACATTTAAGGAAACTTACCCAATTTTACTTCTGCATTTTCTGTAAGAAGAACATTCTGTCCTTTAATATCTCGATGGATGACATGATGAGCATGAAGATGAGCCAATCCCTAAAAGAAAACCAGATTTGCCTTATTCCCTCCTCCTAACACTAGCACAGCACTGTTGCCTTTTTACACTTTCACTCTTTTCAGTCATTATTCATAAGGAAAGTCCTTTAGATGCTACTAGCAACATTTTCAGGGAGGAGAGAGGACAACAATCCTAAGTTTGATTGTCTTCTTCACCACAGGCCTGACAGTGGTGGCATCTCTTGAGTCAAGTGTGAAGAGAACAAGGTATCATAACTTCTGTCTCAGCATCAAGGGATGCTCCTTACACTCTATGCTAAGAGCAAACAAAAGAGAAAAAGAATTCTCTGTATGAGGACCAGAGACAGCAGATGGCTGGCTGTAGTGACCTGAAGTTTTCATTCAACAAAATGAGAAATTCAGTGGTAAATGGACTAGAGAAAGTTAAAAATACCATGTCAGACCTCTTTTTGATTGCAGCAAATATTGTTTTCAATCAGCTAATATTTGCTGTCTCCTCCTGCATTTTAAAATTGCCCATGGTTGAACTAGCACAGACATAAAGGAACACACTGAAATAATCCATTATAGTAATCCAGGGATGCTTCACTCACAACATTTAGCCCCTCTAACATTAATGGCTTCAAACAGAGCTTCCACCCAGCTTGTAAATTTTCCAGAAGGAAACATTGTTAATCCATGTGCAACCGGGCCATTTTGTCTTGAAACAAGCATGATTAATCCAATCCCTCGCTTTTACCAACGTGCTGTTACAGTTTTCAGCTGCATGAGCATAAACCAAACGTTTTAACATCAATTGCTTTAACAGAGGCATAACAGCCACACCAGTGAGGAACAACCAGACTGCGCCATTAAGGTTTTTTTCTTTTGCAGAACTCCCCACACTTTCCAGATATAATGATCATAATCTGCAGGCTAGTGCCAAATCCCTGTAAGAAGGCCAATATTCTCTGCCAAGCACATCTCTCAACTCCTATGCCCCAGAAAGAAAGTTTTACCCCTATTCAAGCATTACTTCAGCATGCCATCTACATTCCAACTCCCAGAATACGCATTTATCTTACCATTATTTTGAAAAGATGCAAAACTGTATTATAGAGAAGACAGATCAGTAACTCTGTAATGGGTTTTGAATTTAGAATGACTGGCTCCAACATCATATTTTTTTCCAGGCTAGTTCACTAGATTACACTTGGGAATTGTTTTATCCTCTGTACTTTCCAAGAAAAAAAAAAAAAGAAAAAGAAAGCAGTCCTAAGCCTGCATAGAATGAAATATAGCCCCAAGATTTGTCTTGGGGAATACTGTCCCAGCAGGGAAACCATTAAGATTTTGGAATGCTGTTTAGTCAACATTTTGTCATATAGTGTGGAAAAGAGACCCCTGAGTGTGTGCAGGTAAAGGAATTATGGACAGAAAGATCTCACAAACATGAACAGCTGAAGCACTGAGCAGAAAGATATCCTGATGTGGAGGGCAGGGCAGACATACTGAAAACAGAAAATTCATTTACTTTTCTAGGTGCCCAGTGTCTGGAATTTCAGAAGATGGCTATTTGCCATAGGAAAGAGGAATCTTCTGTTCTTCATACAGAAAATGGGATTAACTACAACAATATGGGATGTCAAGCAGCCATCATGCTGGCTCTCAGGGCTCTTCTGAACTCAAGGACCATAGCCCATGAGCCCCATGGATCACAACCTTTAAACAATAATGCTCATTAGTGACCTATTTTAGCAACCAAAGGCTTGGAAAGGCCTTTTTGTTGCAAATGAGCAGCGAAGCTCTGCTGGCAGGACTCACCCTGAGAACCTCTCTGCAGATGTAAGCAATCCAGTCTTCCTTGAAACAGTTCCCTTTTGTCTTCTTTACCAAGTCAGTGACAGAGCCCGCACCGCAGTACTCCATCACCAGCTGCAGGGACACAAACACACACAAACACCTTCACCACAGCTCTGCCAGGGGCCAGCAGAGAGAACACCTGCAAACACCCACCTCCACCACAACCCAGGCATGGCAAACTACACATGGCCTTCTCGGATGCCAAGTGACTTAGAAACTCATTTCCTGAATCACACAAACTGCTAAATAAATAGAAAACCTCACTAGTGCTCCTCTCCTGTTGCAGGCTTTCAGTAGTTTTTTTTTTATTATTATTTTTTTTATTTAGTATATACAAAATTGGAAAAGCAAGAGCTAACAGCACTGAGAAGCATGGGAATTTTTTAAAAATTTGAAATTTCTCATTTTGCTGCAGTGCCTCAAAAATCTTGCAGCCAAAAAATTGGAGGATTCATTATTCTTCCTTTCTTTATTGCCGTTTCTTCTGCATCCTTTTTTTTATATTTTCAATGTGAAAAAAAGAAAAGAAAGCAACAAGAATGAGAGGACAAAAGGACAAACTCTTTCACTTCAGAAAAAAAAAATAGAGAATAATTTAATTGGAAAAAAAAAGGGTTCAAGCAACAAATCAGAATGACAGCACAAGTCACAAGAATCATAACATACTTTATGCCCATCCTCAAAGGAAATCATAGGCATGGAAGATGTCCAGGGAGGAGTAATTTTTCTCTTTTATATGTTATTCTTCAGAACAATGACTTCAGAGCTTCACTGAGACAGAGCCCAAGCCAAGCATGCTGGAGCTCTAAAGAAGGAGCTGTAAATCTGATGAGCAGAAATGACACTAAACACTTACCCAGAGCTGATCATCCTGGCCTGCAGGACTTTTCTTTACAAAAGCCCCATAATATGTAGCAATATTCCGGTGATGGGAGTACTTTTTTAACATATTTATCTCCAGCTTGATTTCCTCCTCTTCATTCTGTAACAAAAGAGAGAAGGAGGCTCCTTAGGTGACCAGAGACCGGAGAGCCCCAAGGCTGCAAAGCAATCCCTGTCTTTGGAGGCCTCAACAGCCAGCTGGAACCACCCAGAGCAAGCTGGTCTGATCCATGGCTGACCCTGCTTTGAGCAGGAGGTTGGGACCAGAGCCACCCTGGGATTATGAGACTGCAGCCGATAGATGGCTCTTATATTGACAGCTGAATCACCCTGATCCATGGGTCTAAACCAATGAATTGCTATGGCTTGACCTAAAGAATCAAAAGCGTCCCTACTCGGGCATAAAAATTGCATATTGTCTCCTCAGGGAGCTTAGACAGGACCTATTACCCCCCCATTTGTGGTTTCTGCATGCATTAATTTAGTCTCAGAGAAACTAACCAGATTCAAACGAAAATAAAATTATTCCTAACACACCATCACTTAAATACTTGGAAAAGCACTGAGTACACACATCAGACAATTTGTCTTCCCAGTCTTGTGGAGGGTCCTGCTGGGAGGAAACCAAAGCCAAGAAGGAGGTGACTTGCCACAAATCAAACTCCAGCGTAAGCCAGGGTCAGGATCTGTTCCTCCCTTACAGCTGTGAGGCTGCCCTATCCTGCCCATGGGCTTTCCCCCCTCCTAACACCAAGCTGCCCCTGGCATGTCGGGGGCTAGCACACCCCTAGACATCAGCTTCCAGGCACTAGCTGCCTGTTTCCCCTTGGCTTTGCTCCAGTCTCATCAGGGCAGGCATTCTCTTCGGCCCATACAACATTGTGCACAATAAGACAACTAATGGAAACACAAGTTTTAATAATTATGTAGGAAGGAAAAGCCCTTTTTCACAAAGCTGCCTGATTTGGAAAGGCCCCCTCAGAACCTGTTTGCTATGGGGCACCACACTCAGCGAAACACACCTAGGTTTTCACCTTAATAGGAAAGGAGTGCTGCTACAGGGTATCCTTGTTCCAGTTAAAAGGAGTAGGAAAAACTTGAAAATTAATTTACTTTGTTGCAAAACATCCCAGTCATCACTTATTATAAGAAGGGGAAAAAAAAAAAGAGGCAGCAAGAACAATTCAGCCCCAAAAGACATTTTCCTGTGCTTTTCCTCTATTTTCCAGTACTTTTGCCATTGAAGCATTCCTTTAACCACCATAATGGACTCCTTATAAAGCCAGACACATTGACCTTTCTACCTGGAGCAACACATTAAAGCCTGACAGGCTAAAGCCAAATTCCCTCAAGAATATGCATATGATGTGTCTTATTAAAGTTGACCACATAAAAATCATTCCCAATCACAGAAGGGACCAGTAAGTTTTCCCAGTAACATCAACACCCAGGAGACACGTTACCAGACCAAAGCCTAATTGTATTAAGCCTTCAGAGACATAAAATAACTGGCTGAAGCTAAATGAAGCTCTTTCAGGTTTCGTAACAATCTTTGTTGAACACAGGCTCTCAAGCTGCATACATTATACTAAATAGTTAATTTGCCTTTTGTTTTCACTTAGGGAGAAAGGAGGACCCTTAATCCTTGGTTTGATACAGCCCTGGATGTTTTATGACTGAATTAGGCTGAAGAGGAGCCCAGTGCAGCATGTGGAGCGTCCTGGAGAAATGGGAGCTGACTCCAGACAGCAAACAGGAAATCCTCCAGGGGCAGGACTCTGCACACAGACAGAGATGAGGAGCAAAGGGAGGTGAGAGCTTGTGCTGAGGGGATACAAGGCTCTACTCCCTCTGGAACTCAACAGTGCACATGAAAGGGTGGACACAAGCAGGCAAGGAGGAGGCAAAGAATGAGGACATGGGAATTGTCATCCTGGACCTGACCACAAGGGTTCTGTCACCTACACAAGCTTCTGAATCCTTAGGGAAGATGGGCAGAAAGAGGAACAAACAGGGAGGACTCCTTCCTTCCTTCCTCTGCTGTCCCTCCTGCACTCTGCCCACTCCTGCAAATGTGTGGAGGGGCAACTCATCTTTGGTAAAGGCCTTCTCCAAATTACTTATAATATTTACAGATGTGAAGGGTTCAGGTTTTTTTAACTCTGTCTACCTACACGAAATTTGCTCTGGTGGAGTCCAGCTCCCTGCTGTGCCCTCAGCACCAGCCTGTGGCTTTCACAAAGTTTCCTTCTGGGAGCTGGCAGATCCCAACCACTTCCTCATTGCTGCTGCCTCTTTTTCAGCTCTTCATCCTTTACCCAATTAATTTTCTGGATGTTGGAACCATGCTGGCAAAGCTCTTATCCAAGTACTTTGTAATCCTCTGCAATGTGACCTCCATGTTTTTAAAACAAAACCAAGCATGTCCATGAATGTTGGGGAAGATGAAACAGGGAAACCTTATGAACATGATTGTTCAGCAAAAGATTCTGAAAATATGAAGCCTAGAATCTAAATAGAAATGAAAACTAGCTTTGAGCTATAGGATACTGAGTGTTAGTTACTATATAACCAAGGAACAATAGCCTAGCCAGATGAAGGAGAATCCCTGTTGATTAAAAAATACCCTTCTGCTGACAGTGAATCCAAAGGTCGAAGAAGCAAGAGAAGAATTTGAAAAGTAGCTTTTACAGTTTAAAATGCAACACTGTATGGTAATGTAGTAGTTATTATAGGCTATATGTAATTTCTATAGAATGTGTGTCATATACTGGTTGGTTACTGGGAATTAGAATATTCAGTATAGAAAAAGATATAATGTATTGTAACAGAACTTCACTCACTTAACTTCCTCTCTTACGCTCTTACTTAGCCTCTCATACTCTTGCTCTCTTTACTGCCCTTTACCTCTTAGGCTCTTACCCTCTCTTACCCCCTCTTTCCCCCCTCTCTCTCTCTACCCCCTTAATTGCCTACTGCTCTCATGTTCTCAGACCCCTCTTTCCACTCTCTCTCCCTTCTGAGCATGTTTATGCTGTGGCTGGCAGTGTAAACAGATCTCTTCCACCTTCTACCTGAATAATAAACTGCTTACACCAAGAGCAGCCTGACCCTGGAGAAGTCTCTAACCATGAGCTTTTTACACCTACACGTGAACAGAGCCAGGATAGCCCACAGGCTCTTCCACACCCTCTGGCAAGAGCAAGAGGAGCTACACATGGGTAATGCTCCTTTCCTAAAACCAGCAAGATGCAATTCCTGCTTTCTCTTGTGTCTTTATTTACCCTGAAGGCCAGAACTTTATCCCTCCCTGCACCTCTTTTTGCCTTGCCCATCCTGGCCCAAGCAGCAATGCCCAGTACAGCTGACTGCCTTGGGGAGACACTCCTAGGAGCAAACAGCTGAGCTCCAGGTGCTGGTCAGTCTCTAAGGGCTGTGCAGGACAGCAGCTGGGCATTCACAGACAAATGCACTCTGCCTCACCAGTGCCCCAGTGAGTTTTGGAAGAAATACTCTATGCCATGGAAAAACCAAGGCAGAAGGGTAAATGTGATTGTGTCCCATGGGCTGTGTCATGAGGCCTGCCCAGGAACTGAACCCAGACTTGCTAAGCCTCAGTGCTGTGTACATCCTTCTAGCACAGTGACTGGGGACAAAAGCACCCTCAGCTTCTCAGTGCATGCCCACACTCACATTTTCCACTTTACACCACCCCTCTTGCCAGCATTACCATCAGCCCCATGTCTCAGGGGTCTACAAACCTGCTCATGAATAAAGCTGCTCAAGGAAAGGAAACAGGCTTGCAGATGTGCAGGTGCAAAAAGCTGTTTGCTTTCACAAACCAGTGCGTTCCTGGGCACAGATGGCTGCGTGCACAGAGATGACAGGTTCATGATCAAAGGCTGTTTTTGAAGATGTGTGCCTATGTACAATGGCATTAGAACTAGAAAACACATTCCTCTGACCACAGATGGAAACCAGATCATCAGCTGATAAATTCTGCACCAAGAGACCCCTTAGTACAGGGGCAGGTCTAACAACAAGTTTCACATTTAAATGTTATTTTGCTCTCTAGAAAGAATGAAAGCAAAGACAGATGGAGAATGATGTGCTGGAGAAGAGCTCTTTGATCACCTGCACCAATAGCTGAAGAGACAAGCAGCAAGAATCCAGTCTCTCTGCAAGCACTCTGCTTGTTTGGCTCTGTCAAAAAACAGGAAGCAGAGCCTGCATGGAGAGGCACATGAGTGCACGTTGCCATCAGCTCCCCTTTAACCATTTCAAAGGGTTCCCCCCGCCCCCCCGTGCAACTCAATACAGCAGCACTTCCTGACAGATGTCCAGAGGATCCCACAATGACCACAGCATCCTGCTGCCGCTCTTAAGAAACCGGTCTGGGGCTGCAGCTCATGACAGCAAAGGGCAGATTTGCTGAGCTCTCGGAGTGCCCCAGATCTGAACAATCACAGCTGGAGCTGGTCAGGCAATTTCTGATGAAATGACTTCTTACTGGAAAAAGAAGCCCTGTAGATTTGGCAAACAAATCAGAATCTTTCGGAGAACAAAGGTGGCAGAAGTAGCAGAAGCGAAGCCAACTCTGCATTAGGAAAGTGGAAATAAGAGCAGAAAGCCCTGCACTCACCCTGTGCCAAGGTCAGAAAGCAGGAACACTTGAGCACAGTTGAGCTGGAATTGTCCAGGGTTTAGTGGAGGAAGAGCACCAGGGAAAATCCTTTTGGGCAGTTGCACTGTTTAGTGGAGGAAGAGCACCAGGTTGTTTTGTTCTCAGAATCTTGGAGGTCTACTAAGGTGATTCCTGAAGTGGGATGAAGTTGTCCTTTTTAAATTTTTAAAATATTTTAAATTTAAAATATTTTAAAATATTTTATTTTTTTTAAATTCCTGAAATTGTCCTCTTTATATTTTGTTTTCAAGTAAGTAGGCATTACTGGATGCTACAGTTTGTTGCTTGCATACAAAGAAGATTATGTTATGTACAGCATAGGGAAAGAAATCTTTCCAAGGTTCCCTTCCTGCAGTCTTTTCTTCAGTTGTTTCATCACAGAAGGGACTGTCACTGGTGTTAATGTGACAACCCACAAGCTACACCTTTAACCAGTCCTTACACATTGTTGACTGACCCAGCAAAACAGGAAAGCAGAGCTGGATAACTTATGAGCCTGTGCCAGGATCCATTCTGTCAGCTCCTGTCAAGGCAGGGAGGTGCTCTCATCTCAGGAATCTGACTGTCATCCAATCTGTATCTGCTCTCCCTTCCAAAATCCAGCAGCCTCATGCTTGGTGACTGCCATTTTTTAAAGCCAAAGCACCTGATGATAAATGTACCTACAGACCTAAAAGCAGAAATCCCACTGATCCTAATGTAGCACTTATTTAAAAACAAAATGCACCTTCCTCAGCACAGAACTGGCAATTCAGCTATGTACACCTATTGCATGAGCAGCAGCCACAGTCAAACCAGCCCTTAGATGTGCTTTGTACATTACAGTAGCATCCAAGTTCAGATCACTTGCTGCTCAGGGCTGGATTCTCACACCATCAACAGAGAGAACTGCCCTGGACCTGCTCTATGGGACAGGACCAACACAGACACCAACTTGGTCTGCTGCCTTTCAAGACAATGAAAAGACACATGAAAATGCAGGCAAGGCTTGCTTGTGCTTGTCCAAACACCATGTGTAGATGAAGCCCTGGCCCAGATGATTTGGCCCTTGGTTTGTTTTTTTTTAAACTTCAGATGATAACCCTTCCATCATATCGCAAGAGGAGCTGGGTTTCTGTTCTCTGTATCCACACTGCCAGGGTGACAGAACAGGGAGCTGGTCTTCAGCGAGTCTGAGTGCATCCTACCAAACCAGACTTCTAGGAAATTCAAGAGGAGGAAGTACAGAGTCTCCCCAACGTTCCTGGGGCTCAGGCTAATGTGATCTCAAGGAGGCAAGCTGCTCCACTACTGGCTGTGCTCTTAAAAGGAGAGACAAAACCCAGTATTTAGCAACTTTTTCAACACCCTGTTTCAGCACTGACACATCCATTTATAAATGTGAGTAGGGACAGTGCAAATTAAACTGTCTCCTTCCCTCATCTGTCAAATCACAATAAAAAAGCACTGCATTTGCATTTCTAACATGTTCCTGCTTGCTGGCTGTCAGGGCACTACTCCGAGGAACAGCTGGCTCATGAGGGGATAGGATGTGATGAAACAGCAGAGGCAGTGCAGAAATACAGGAAATCTTTTAATTACTATCTCTGAAAGCAGATAATCAACTAGAAACAAGCAGGAAGGGACTTCTTGCCTTTGATATTATTGAACATCAAAATACATGTCAATGCACTCCCTTATTGCTTTGTCACCATTGGTCAGCCACACTTTAAAAATATGATTATGTTAACACCACTCCGTACTTTGTAAGACACAAATTGGTGCTCAGGAACCACGATTTACACCAGTGGATCTTCTTTCATGAGCTGTCCACCTTCTCTTGATCTCATTATTTATTTTTCCTTGCTGCTTAACAGTGACAATATTATTTTTGGTTTTGCACTCACCTCAGTAACATTCATCACTTTGATTGCTGCCAGCTGCCCAGTCTTAACATGGCGACCCTGTTAAAATAACAAAAGACACTAAGTAAAACATGTAGGCAAACTAGGAATACACAACAAATTAGGCCTCTAACAACTAGGTTTGACTAATTGCTTTCAATCAAGTTCAAGGCAATGTTCTAGCTGAAGCTGTCCCTGCTCCTTGCAAGGTGACCTTTAAAAGATGCTTTCCAACCCAAACTATTCTATGATTCTATGCACCAAGCAACCTTCCAGTGACACAAAACCACCGAGGTGAAGTTTGGTGATGTGTTACCAGAGCCACACCCTTACTGTGCTCTGAATTTAACAGAGTTATCTCTACAGGGCTGAATTTAGCACAAAGGAAGCAGCAATGCTGGGAGACCTCTGTTCTCACACCACAACGTGGCACAAGCTCACAGGTCTCCATCTAACTTCTGTCCAACAGGTGATGCCGGCCCTGGAGCCTCCTCTTCTAGGAAATCTCAGCACAGCCTCAGAATGTCTGAACAAGAGCCACGTTCCAGTCCTGCCATCCATGGCTGAGGTGTGCTGGGGAAGCTGGAAGGGATTGGGCAGTTGGCTCTGTCCCCACCCTGACCCCTGACATGTCCTGGCCCACCTCAGGGTAAAGACAAAACTCTGGGTTCCAGTGCCTCAATCTGGCAACATCTATGTGGCTGCTAAGAAACTAAAGCTTTATGTGTGATTTTGCCTTCTCTTTTCTTTTGTTTTTTAAAATTTCTTTAAAATGCTTTTCACTTCAAAATGCTTAGTTTTTATAATGCTTACTTTAGCTAACTATATCTCAGCTACTACTCAGCTAGTATCTCAGCTACTTCCCCAAAAGCATGCAGGAGCTTTGAATTTAAAAATGTCATCTTCTGTGGTGGTGGGGAGGAACTAACCCAGGACTTTGACTGTGTGGGTGCCCACACATGTAGATAGTTCATTATGAAATGCCCACACCCCATAGGCAGGTTTAAACAACAGACAGCTGGTAACTTCAGACTAGCTAAGAGGCCTGGTTTTAAAAACACAGCTAGGTAAAGGGAGGTCATAGGAAATAAAACTATTAAAAGAGCAAACTTGCTACTGAGACTGACAAAATGTGATTGACAAAAACACACATCATGAACAAAACCATGAATCTTGCTGTCAGTTGCAGTTTCTTGCTTTGGTTAGGTCAAGCTGCTCAACAGATACCACAGATGATGCCTTTCACCATGATACCCAGCACTGACCTCACACTGGAAGATGCTATCAAAAGATTTGGATATACAGTGGGTTTGCAATACATCCTAGCTCCTCACTTCCATCAGATGTTCAGAAATGGGTTTCAAGCTTTGAGATCGCAATTTTATTCCTAAAATAGTAGTGCCTGCAAAGCTGTATATCAAAATAACTAACTGACACCAGTTAAGCAAGCCACTGGAAATCAGGAAATCAAATATGAAATGCTGAAGTTTGCAGACAAAATGATTTGCAGGTGCAATTTACACTCACAAAATTAAAAGTCGGGTTGATGTAATTTTAAAACCCAGGTTCTATCTGCACAAAAGTGTACACAAATGTTATTTCTAAGACTAAGCAACTTTGCATCAAAGAAAAATGATTCCTCATTCTCAGGCAATATGTCACAGTCATGTTTTCTTTTACAAAAGACTAAATCCTGCTGAGTTTTTTGTATATTTATAAGTGTCCTCTTTCCACGGAAGCACTCCTGGGATTTCTCATGATGTAGAATGACAGGATTTACATACCAGGAGAGGATCAGCACAGACCTCAGGAGGAAGATAAAGAGGACACACTCTCCCCAGGCCACACAGGCCTCGGTGGGTGAGTGTGGATGGGCAGTGACCATTGCCAGCCCAAAGGATGCTGGTGTTGGGCATCCCTGCTGTCCATCCCTGCTAACGCCAGCACTGGTCAGCAAGTTTCCTCTGCACAGCCACAGCTCCTCTCTTGGAACCATTGTCTGCAAATGTTCCCATTTCCATGGAATGTCTTGGCAAGACAGGGAGAGGGCCTTCCCCAAAGCACAGCCACCCTGTCCTCACCCCAGAGTTTGTCTGGAGAGGACACAGAGACATGGTAGCTCCTTGTCTCTGGACACCACGCACCAGGTGAGCAGCCCAGGGAAAACAGGGGTCTCCTCTGGACTGCTGTAGATTCTGCAAAGGACCAAGAACTAACACTGATTTTCATAACTTTTCATAACATAATAATTATGTTATTGAAAACATAATCAATCAGTACTAGGTTAACACTGCACTTGAATATTCATCAGAATAAGGAAGAGGGAAAGGCTTGGCATTCAGTCCTGGTTTTGAAGCACAACTCCTGGTCAAATTATCCCTCTCTACAACAGATATTGGTTATTTTGCTGCCACACTTATTTCCACTGGATGCAAAACCTGCTGCTGTCAGTTACCACCATAAATGTGAATACTAACCACTCCACACCCCCCCCCCCCAAAAAAAAAAAAGGTTTTGAAAATCAGTATTTATGGGAAATAAAACAGCAAGTTATTTTGTTTTGTGGGTTGTTATTCACCTTTGCTCAAAAAATGTGTCCCTGTTAACTAAGATGCACAACTCAATCCTGCTCCTGTATTAAGGCACATGACTGTGCTGGCAGTTCAGAACAAAAATCACAGATTTCTCAATATTGGTCATTTAAACTGTTCAGAGTCAATTTTCCTTAACATCTCTAAGAGGAATAAATATCCTGAACCCAGCCCTGGGGTTCTTGCTAAGAGATAGAGAGTAATGCCTTAGCAAGAAAAGATTTCAGTGCTGGTCCCTTATTTTCTTCATTTATCAATAAATCTCAGAGGTTAGCCAGAGTTCATGGGAACTCTCACACTGCTGCTTCTGCTGAAGCCACTAAGTTGAGGAAATGGGAGGAAGAACAAGAGGCATTGTCCTCCCAGCCCTCTGTTCATTCTGCCACTGCCCATCCTCTCCAGATAACTGGAGTTCAGTCTGCTGTGATTCAAGATCCTCCACTGCACATTTCTCCAGAGACTGGGCAGAGGGCTGGAATGGTCTTTGGGCCAGTTTCCCTAATAAAATGTTTCATCTTTCACCCAAATGCTCAGTATAAGAGCTCTGGAGAATGTAGTCAAAACATCCAACAGCCATTTGCAACACCCATATTCCTACCCAGGAGTAAAACATCAAACTCTATCAAGCTCATACAGAGCTAAGACACGAACGATTCTGAGGCTCAAAGACTTTCTAAAATTGATGTTCCACCCTTCATTTTGGTGAGGTATCCAAGCTGGAAAAAATTCTCCCATTAGCCTTGAGTCCAGCTAAATTCCTGGTCTCCTCCAGAAAATATTTCCGCATAAAGTGTGCAGTAGTTGCCAGTTAGTCACTACAGCAACATTCAGCAAACCTGAAGCCAGCACACACATTTTTCAATGCAGACTGCTCACTGAAGCCAGACTTGTGGGAGATCCTTTATGCCAAAGATCTGGTTCTGATGAGCTCCAACCCTGCATTATCTCTGCAGGGAGAGATACACGGAAGAGAGCAGATTGCTCAGCGTTATTTCTGTTGGATGTGTATTTATCTTTTCACCTTACATAAAGCAACCACTTATCTACACCCTCTAAGGTAACCTCTAAGGGTCAAGACACATACTTTTCTATTTACATCAAACAAGAGTGTCAACATTAGCAGCCAGCTATTAGCTGATAAAGGGGCCTTACATGAATTAAGTATATTTATAAAATGATGCATTTGGTCATGTACAACACCTTTTTCTCTTAGTTTCTAATTAAAATTTTGGACGGTCCCAGTGTGAGGCCATGATTATAAGAAGAGACCCAAGGTCCCAATGAGATTATATGGTTACAAGTCATATGCAGAGAGCTTGGTTTGACAGCTTCCCTCCCAGATCCTGCATGTATCACTCTTCCCAGGGGTGGGAAACAGCTCCCATCAGATTCTCTTCCCACTTGGGATTTGCCAGACTTGGAGCAGACAATTCTAAGTCCAGACAGCAGAAGCCAGCTGTCCAGTCAAGTGCTGCACACCGTGCCAAGGCAGCCCACGGCAGTCCCAGCACAGGCTTCCTTTTTGGCAACACACACTCATTAATGTTCACGTGCTTCTGGGCCTGTCTGATGGAGCTGTCCCCATGTAACTGCAGCAGGAAGAAGTGCAGGAGAAAGGCAGGGACTGCCTGCTGCAGGACACCAAGGCAGCACAGAGCTGGTGTGTTTGACCACACAGTATGTCCTTGCTCCATGTCCTTGTCTTCTCGTCTGCAACCAGAAGCACCATGCCACTTGTGTCTCCCTTAAAAAGCAGGGGTGTCAGAGAGGCAGTCAGGTACCTGTGTGCAGGGACACCTTTCAAAAAGCAGGAGACCTGGACACTTTTCAGTTTGCACCTCTGTGCCTGCATGAAGGGCCATTTCATAGCAAACACACTCTGCTGTCAGGCACAGACACAATCAGCTCACAGCATTAGCACAAGGGTATGGGACTCCTGGGTGACCCATCACAGTGCTGCCTGCCTGTGTAATCCCAAAAGCTGGTAGGTGCCACAACTTTAACTCTCAGGACTTCTCTGGATGTTCAAGATTCACATTGTAAAGCAAGATGTGGTTGATGGAAGTGTGGGACTTTGGTGGTCAAGGTTTTCCTCGACCAGAAGCATTCCTGACGGGATAAGAGATGCAGCTTGTGGCCAGCCGCCCTTTGGGAGCGAGGTGAAGGCACAGCTGTGTCACTGCAAGCTCTCACCGAAAGTGAACTCGAGCGAGCAGATTTCCTGTTCAAAATGCACTGATGAACTTTGAAGTTTGAGCCCATCTTGGGTAAATCTGTGTGGCTTTGCAGCTGCTGGCAACTTGCCAGCTCAGCTGTGCCTTGTGGGACTGGTCCCCACCCTTTCACCCCTCGCCTCTCCACCCTTTCCACCCTGCCAATACAAGAAAAGCCTTTAAGAGATTATGCATAGAGTGAACAATGCTCTGCATAGTGATCCAGGAAACCCTATGTCTTATTCCATGTGACCTT